ACCTTGAATTATTGCCCACGCAAGAAAAGGATCCAAATTCAAACACATCAAACTCGGAGCGCTTTGCTGTGAAAAAAGTAAACCTATTATCTTGGTAGCTTTTTTGCAGAGCTAAAAAATAGTCACATAGTTTACACTGGAGCAAAAATTGACAAGGCAACAAAAATATATATATATATATATTACAATAAAGTTAATTTTATTCTTACTTTTAGTCTCTCTCTCTCTCTCTCTCTCATGGAGATCCCATGACCACGCAGCGTCTTAGAAAATCAAAAACTAAAGCTTTACATCATATTCCTATACAAATATATCAAGCCATGATTGTGATAAAATTGCAGATGAAACGAAGCCCTTGAAAAGCATTAAAGTTTTGAAAGGTAGGGAACAACATCCATAGCTTGACTGAACGAACCTCCTCATCTCTCTCTACACAGCTTGGGGAGACCCACAGACACCCTTCAAGAATAAGCTAGCACTAGATATAAACAGTAAGCATCCTTCATTGTACGTTACATAAGTAATCAATCAAGCTCTCTGCCTAAGCAATCATCATACCATCTCACCTAGCTTTCACCATATTACAATTTTTCTGGTTTTTCTTTTTCTCCGATTGAGACCTTGTGTGTTATTCTTGTCAGTCATAAGCTACACTTATATTTCCTAGTCCAGCATTACTTAAAACATGAGTGTGACAAAAGCAATAAAATCCAAAAGTTACTTGAGTTCATGTAAAAGTTAAGCATCTAGAGCAGGTGCAGGTTCCAAATCGTGGTTTTTTTTTTCGGTTAAATAAATATTGTGTATTTTATTCAGTGTAGTTATCATTTAAGTTGCTCAGTTCTGCATTCTTCATTGGATTGCATGCAAATTGGCAACGCTTTGGCATATGCCTCTGATCACAAAAGCCCTGCACTATTATAACGAATTTTCTGGGCTTGAAAGCATGATCATCCCTTAAAGTTTTCCTATTTCAGAACGTACCCAAATCACCCATAAAAGTTATGGTAATCTTGTTGAATAAAACTAAGATTCCAGTGTACTCAATGAAAGTGGGAAAGAGAAGGAAAAGACCAATTTCTTCTTCTTTAAGTTTGAAGGAAAACAAGAGGAAGGACAAGAGAGAACGAGGTGACTGCAAGTGAGATGAAACATGCATTGCTAATATATGCTTTCTGAAATAAATAAAAGATATTGCTAGTAAATCATAAATTTTAGAGTTCATTATGAAACATGTTCATGATCATGTCAACATCATCGCACAAATGCAGAAAAATATAAATAAGCTTACTCCATTATGAATTTAGAGCTTCTTAGCGTTGACAGTAGCATTCCAATATGTCAAAAAGGTACCCTATTTCCCTAATTTCATGTGTAATATCCAAATCAAATTCCCATATAACCAGGAAGGTTAAAGAAATCTGTCCACTCTTAGAAGAGGTTAAAACAGTCTTTTAGTTTGAGTCTAAAAACAACCATATGAAACACAAGTTGCTTATCTAAAATGCAAGAGAAGAAAAGTAACGAAGGCTACTTAGACAAACAAAAATACTCTTAACAGGTCTGCAAAACGAATACATTACAAGCATCAAGGAAAAGTTTGAGACTGCAATTGGATATCTTTTGATATGCAGTAGTTGTGGTGATTCCTTTGAAGTTCCCCAAAGAAAAAGAAAGAAAGAAAGAAAAAATCTTCATTCCTTTGAAGTTCCCCAAAGAAAAAGAAAGAAAGAAAGAAAAAATCTTCATGAACAAGAGAAACTCTTTAGTCATATCAGGAGATCTTTTGATGGTGTTAGACAAAAGAAACGCTCAGACTTTTTCTTTCTTCTTTTTATGAGAAACACTATTAAGGTTTTCATGGATTAATAATTTAAAAGAGCCATCAAAGTATTCCCTTTCACAGTCCAAGATATATATATATATATATATATATTTATTTATTTTTACAATTATGAAAAAAAACATAAGACTGCAAGTTTTTCTGATATGTAAGAAATTTAAAACAGTTCCAAAGATGCATCACCCAAGTGTCAAAAACAAAAGAATGAAATTAATCCACGAAATGCAACAGTAAAATTAAAAACAGCCATCAGCCTGTCATTATGCAATATGCAAGATAAGTCTTGAGCCCTACCACTAACAATTCCAGTACACATACAATAAGCCTATGGCTTCTTAAAGCTAGTATCTAAAGATGAAAGGCGATCAAATTTACAACCCTCCTAAGTTTCCTAAGGTTATCCTAGCCCGTCAAAGGATGTACCGTTTGTATACACAATAGTAAATATGTAGAAACAGACAGAACCCTCAACATATCAGCATGACAATGAAATCAACACTAACAAGCAAATTTTGCCTCAAAATAAAATCTGTACATTGAACACAATCTTACCACATCAAAAACAGATGACAGAGTAAACCTCTCTGCTAAACTTTCAGCCCTTACGTAGTCTGCTTCGCCGAAAAAAGACAGGTCGAATTGAAAAGATCTATTATAGAAAAGAGAAATTCCACCAAAAATAAAAATCAACTATAAAATCGACCTTAGAAGCTAAAAATAATAAAGAATCAACAGTCAATTCAGCAAAAAGAGAAATAGCAATAAAGATTAAAAAAATTGAACTTGTGAAATTTCTCATAAAAGCCTTTCCATATGTAAAAATAATGAGACAAGATCTACCTCCAGTTACTAGGTAAACAAACAGAAACTCATTATAATAATTCAGGAGCATCTGCAGGAGCATTTGGTTTAGGTTCTAGTTAGTTTGGGGTTTCAGTTTTATGCTTATCTTGTATTTGTCTTGTTTGATTTTTATGTTTTATGTTGTTTGTAGCTTATAGTATTTCTCCTAGTCTCTTTTTAATAGTCAGGCAATAGTCATGTGAGTAAGTATTTTTGGAGGCTAAGATTGACTAGTTATTGAAGTAATCAAGGGCTAGGATGCTAGGCTTGTAACCCTAGTATACATACCCTATTTAGAGGCTTTTTATGCAGTCTTTTGTCCCACAAAATCAGAATGTAGTCTCACTTTGGTATCTTTGCCCTATAACTAATATATCAACATTCCAACTATGATCCTATTGCTTTCTTTCTCTGTTTCTTATTGATTTAAAAATCTCATAGCTTTCTATCTCTTGTTTTGACCATTATTTAGTGCTTGATATCCCTTCTCTAGCGTGGTTTTGTGCTGCTACAGCAACCAGACAGCAGCTTCTGCTTCTGCTTCTGCCCTACACCAAATAGCATTCCTCTTGTCCAACATCAATGTATCCTATGCCGACGGCATCAGCCATATCCGATAGTACTAGACCAGTAAAAGTAACAAGCAACTACAGAATATACAGCTTAATTGTGTTTGCCAGATTGTTCAATTGCTTAGGTTGACCAATTTCCAACCAATATGGCCAGCAGAGCAAATATTTGTCTCATAGCCTAGTTTATCAGCAAAACAATATCCTTCAAATAAATGCTGATTCACAAGCCACAAAATAAAGATAATAAAATAATAGATAGTAGGTCTGTAGTCCAACAAACAACAGCATGATGCTATCTCTGCTAACTACTAAAAAAAGAAAAGAAAAAAAAAAGCTTCTAAGATATACGATCAGTCTCAAAATACCTAATTCCTTAGGCTCTCTCACTTTTTTCTTAAGAGTCACTTGAATTTTCCCTGTATAATCCACACAGTAAAGTACACTAGTCATTGCCTTCTATAGGCCTATACACCCCAAATATTGAGTTTTTAAATCTACTACAGTACTAGAGATTAACAATTATTTGTCAGTAAGTTTGATCAATTTAGAGAAACTCCTTATATAACTACTAAAAAAAGAAAAGAAAAGAAAAAATAAAGCTTCTAAGATATACGATCATAGTCTCAAAATACCTAATTCCTTAGGCTCTCTCACTTTTTTCTTAAGAGTCACTTGAATTTTCCCTGTATAATCTACACAGTAAAGTACACTATAGTCATTGCCTTCTATAGGCCTATACACCCCAAATCTTGAGTTTTTAAATCTACTACAGTACTAGAGATTAACAATTATTTGTCAGTAAGTTTGATCAATTTAGAGAAACTCCTTATATCTTTGCAAACATCCTTTTAGCACCTCCAACTAAGCTACAATTGAGAACAATTGGGTTGAAATGTTAGTAAAAAAATTAATAACTACTCTGCTTAACATGGTCAGTTCAATTTCTACCAACTAAGTACCAAGGATGAGGTTGATTAATTAATATCATACTACATACAGAAGTGCCTCTGCTCATAATAAAAAAGAAGAAACAATTCAGACAGCATCGTAGATACTTCCAAAACAAATTGAGAACAATTGGGGTGAAATGTTAGTAAAAAAATTAATAACTACTCTGCTTAACATGGTCAGTTCAATTTCTACCAATTAAGTACCAAGGATGAGGTTGATTAACATTAATTAATATCATACTACATACAGAAGTGCCTCTGCTCATAATAAAAAAGAAGAAACAATTCAGACAGCATCGTAGATACTTCCAAAACTTGAAATCAGGTATTGTTGCCAACTGTAATGAAAATAATGTAAAATTACGAAGTTATATACAATATAAAGGAAAATACTTATATTAGAGAGCTTTATTGTTCAAGGTAATGTCCATGTTTTGAGAGCTGTGTAGCAATGAGATCCTTTCTAACAAAAAATACACATCTGAACTACAGAACATGATAAAAACGACAAAGCCATCACTAGACCACCATCGGATTCTTTATTATCACAATAATTCTAACAGATCTGGAACACAATACAGGATTTTGTTGATTCATTCCGGATTCTATCATCTCCTGCTGTACCATACTTTAATATTCCAGGATCCACTCATTCTAAAAATTCATCACATCAAGTTTTCCTGGCTAATAATCTTGTAAAGTTCCAACTTTTTCATTGCACCGAGTATAACGAACAAAACATGAACGAACTTGAAATATAAGAATTGGAAAGTTAAAAGATACATTCAAGAATGCTATAAACCAAATGCCATCTCAGCTCCAAATGCAAAAGAAGTGATAGCAGTATACCACTTTTGAATTTCTAATGATGATAATGTCAACAGAAAACAATCCTAGTGAGAATAGAAAACTTGAGAGTCAAAAACCAACAAACTTAACTGCCATTGAACTCCAGTTCCAAATACCATCTCCATTAACATGGCAGCAACCTGAAATGACAAAACTAGCATGAACCACCCCGAATGTAGAAAAAAGAGGCATGGAAGGGTGCATCACCTATATTGCTAACGCAATAATACCAAAGAAACAATCGGACCCCAAGTGAAATGCAACCAAAGGGATCCACATTGCAGCACACCATCATCAATCAATGCTTTTCTCCCCAGCCCTCAATACTGGAATTTTTGACTTGTTTGCATCCTCTAATAAGGACTGATCACCAGAGGTTCTACAAAAAGTAGAAAAACAAAATTTAAAAAAACACACACAACCAGACTTCTAAACCATAAATGGAAAAGAAAAATATATAAAAGAAAAAAATTAATCAAATATGATGTCAAGCAGTAACTATGATATGCACAGAGAACTTACAGTTTCTGCTTTTTAGCATTCTGCTTAATGCTTCGTACCATATCCATAGCCATCTTCTGGTGCTCCCTTGTTTGTGAATGCAAGTCCAAGCCTTCCACTGTTTCACAATCAACTTTACAGATCCGACACCACCCCATACTAGCTGGCTTCCTTTTCCTTGAGTGATCAAAAGACTCCAGATCTCCCTGAAGATATCCATAACATCACAAAGTTGAACTTAAAAAACAAATAAAAATAAAGTATCCCAATAGGAGCTCTACTAACATAGTGCATCACTTCACATGCATAATGCAAATGACTGAAGCAAATACTTAACTGTATAAGTTCCATCATTTGGAAATCTCTGAAGTGAAAAGCTGCTTCGAAATCCAGGCTCACCAAGGCGAGGATGATTGGGCTTGTTGCCTCGAAATGACTCAAAGTTCCCGGGCCCAGCCATGTCTCCCATGCGTGAATGACGAGAACCAAAACCCAGAGGTTCTCGCAAGTTGTGAGGACCTAAATGATCTCCCCTCCGAAGATGACCAGGGTGACCATCTTGACCAATAAAATCATTCCTTCTATGATCAACCATTCGCAGATTACCAGGACCCTCAAACTCTCCCCTACGAAAATGACCGGGCAAATTAGAAAACCTACCCTCATGGAATTGATTTCCAAGTGGATCACCAAATCGATGAAACTCCCTGCCATCAAAATCATCAGGGCCAAAGCCTCTAAACCCATGAGGTGGGAGGCCAGGGTAATCTCTAACTGGGCTTCGAGGAGCCAAACCATCCACAAGACGCCGTCCAACAAAATCTGGATGACCATGAGTAGGCTCCATTCTCCCAAAATCTCAACCGCTCGCCTGGAAAAGCCTTAAACCTTTCATCCCTCGGCACATGAGTTGATGAGGAGTCAAGGCCTGGAGTTCCATTCATCCTCAACATATTTGGGTGGATACCAGATGGCTGTCCAATTGGTGCTGCTCTTGACATCATGCCACCGTGAAAATCCAAAGCACTAGTGGGTGGAAGCGGTAAATGACCTTCATTATAAGGCCCATGCGGAGTAACAGATTGCAGTTCGATGCTTCCTTGAGGACCATACTGACTTGCCCTGCCAGATGATGCTCCAAAGCCCAGGTTGCCACCATGTGGCTGGAAATGCTCAGATGAATGAAAAGGCTGTCCAGGAACATGTGCAGGCCCTGGGGGCCTTAAATGATTCCCAGGCCCCTGTGTATGACGAGGAGGTCCTGGAGGCACTTGTAACAAAAGAGGTGCACCAGGTCTTTGCGGGAGTGTAGTAGGTCCATGATGAGGCAGATGCTTTCCTTGATCAGATATTGGAGCTGAAGTAGATACAGCTTGAGATCCCTCATCAGTGCCAATAAAAGGCTGCGGATTGCCACTAGCATCCTTCTGCAACATCCGACCCTGTTCTTCACGAAGTTGAGCTTCTTCAGATGGGATTTCTTTAAGCTCTCTCTGTTTCATGTCACTGATGGAAACATCTTTTGCACCCTCAGCTACAACTTCACCCAATTTACCATTACTTGAATGGTCCAGAGTACCATCCACACTCTCTTCCTTCAACATTGATTTACTTACAGACTCTCCATTTTCAAGTGCATGTATATCTGGAATCTCCTGGGAAGATGTATCTCCCTGATTAGTTTTATCTTCACCAGTAGGTTTATTCTCATTATCAATGGACTTCATATCCGTCTCAGATTTCGCAGTTTTAACCTCCGCATCAGCTACCACAGCAGATGCTGTACCCACATCATGTACAACCTTTTTAGCATTTTGCTGACCCGATAACTCAGATTCTTGCTCAGCTTGCCTCTCAGACGTAGTTGGTCCAGAGTTTGCTCCAGACTGCACTAGGTTGTTTGTTCTGACCATATTGTTCTGATTTGTAGATGGAAGGTTTGCAGCAGGATGCATTGGCCTCATGTGAACACCTCCAGCAGTTTGTGCATAGGTCTGAGATTGTACTCCATGAATTGGCATCATAGGCCTTCCGCCAAGATTAGACTGGGTATGTTGAATGCCCTGAGACAATGTAACGTTCTGCTGAGACTGGGTAGAGGCATGAATATGTTGAGGGAACGAATGAGATTGACCCTGGGGACGTAGCTGTGTAGGTGGTTGCTGTTGTACAAAAGGCTGGTGGTGGAAATATTGCTGAGGAGTCGGTTGTTGAACTGCCTGCATATGAGGGCGCTGGTGGACAGTATTCCCAGGTGGGTGACCATAAGAGTGAACAGGCTGCTGTTGTGCAGGATTGATGTTTTGGATTTGACCAGGAGAAGGCAACAAAGCTGGCTGCTGCTGGTTTGGAACTGTTGTATGAGATGGGGGTGGCCGCATAAGTGGGGGTTGTTGAGGGAACTGACTCTGTATTTGAACTGGAGTTTGTGACTGGGAGTGAGGCATTCCATGAGATTGCACGTGCATAGTATGTTGTTGTGGGGCGCCTGACTGCACTGGTTGGTGAAGGTGAGGTTGAGGGTACAAGTGATTGCCAGTCACTGCATGAGATGATGGATGTAGTGTCTGAGGCTGGTTGGTAGCATTCATGGGCTGAGATGGGTGAAGTTGGGGATTGGGTTGGGGATGTTGTTGAAGCTGTGCCTGTTGCTGAGGTTGTGAATGAGGTTGGGGTTGAGAAATGGGATGCTGTTGCGGGAGAAGCTGGGACTGGGTATGTTGCTGAATTTGGGCTTGCTGATTATGAGGCATTTGCACATGTTGAGGATGTGGCTGTGAATGGGATGGAGCTTGGAAATATGGTAGGGGTTGAGGGTGTGGCTGCCCATGAGCTGCCGGGTAAGTCTGCACGGCAGGGTGAAATTGCTGCTGTTGGTTAACTTGTGCCTGATTTTGAGTTTGAGCGGCAACAGAAGCCTGCACATGTGGGGGCTGAATTTGGGGTTGGGGTTGAGCTTGAGCTTGAGCTTGAGCTTGAGATTGAGATAATTGAGGCTGTAGTGGAGGTTGAGTTTGGGGCTGCGATTGCAAGTATGTCTGAGATTGATGCTGGACTGTCCCATATGGCGGATGAGACTGCAAATGCTGCTGCTGTGATTGTGGAACTGCTGGCTGTTGATAGGGATAGTAGTTCTGATATTGTTGTTGATATGGATCATACCCAGGATACTGCTGATAGTACTGTTGATATTGTTGCTGATGTTGGTACCACTGTTCAGCAGACGGCACAGCAGCTTGAACAATAGCTTGAGAACTTGAGTTTGCTTTCTGATTAGGATCAGGTCCAGGTGCTGTGACACTTGTAGTTTGAGAAACCTGGGCCTGAGATGTTGCTATTCCTGACTGAGTGGCAGCCTGGGTCTGATCAGCAGTAGCTGATGTGCCAGAAGCTGAAGTATCCAAAGCACCCTCAGACTGCTGCGCTTGAGGCTGCACACCCTGTCATTGACAGATAACAATAAAATCAATTCCAGATAGTAACTTCTCATCTTGTAAAAAGAAAAATAAAATACTCACCGGGCAATTTTGTGCATGCTCCTGCACTTGACGATGCACAATTTGGATTCCACACCTGTTGCATACTACAGGAGAATTACCAAAGGCACATCCAGAACAATGAGATGTACACTCAGATAAAGGTCCCTGCCATGTGCATCCACTCCTGTGATAGAGGCAATGAACTGCTATTTTTCCTATGGTTTCAGCAAGGGACTTATTTGATTCAATAAGTGGCTGCATTGATTAGTTACAGTAAAGTTGTATCAATAAGCAGACAGTAAAGATCAGATAAATTGGTTACGACCAAGGTTGTAAAGGAAGGACCTTGGCATCTGCTTCTGTCACTAAGTAACCATCATATGGGCAAGCTCGGGTAGAGCTCACTACATATGTCAAACAGGGCTTGCAGTATAAATGAGTGCACTGTGACTGCAATGCTTCATTTGGGTAGACAAGCAGACGACAAACTGGACAAAAGTACTCTCCGGCAAGAGATTGGATATTCAATATGCACTCATTATCAAATCCCATGCTGCCCTGCAAGCCCAGCTTCAAGTCCTAGTGCATAAATTTTATCAACCTGAATGAGTGCAAAAATTGTGAGCCCCTTTGTGAGCATAAAGAAACAAACTTTCTTCCATCAACATTTATGACACATTGGCTTCATTGCAACACATCTTCTTATTTTTCTTCGAAGCAACAGGTAAAGGGCCTCACTCAGTTCAAAATCATACAAACAATCCTCAGAAGAAGAAAATGACCCAACGCATAAACGCAATTACCCATTTTCACAAACCAAACAAGAAAGCAGGGAGGCACAGAATGATATGCAAGTGAATATTCAGACATGCAAATCCAGTGCGTACCCAATCACTCCATTAGGCATTTAGTAATAATCAGCAAAATGGCATCGAAAAGAAAAACCCAAACTGTCCTATGCGTACCAAAAAATCCAGACCGAAAAAGATAAATCAAAATCCGTGTTTTTGTGCGTTTACAGATTTAGATGAGTGCGGTTTCGACTTTCATAAGCCTGAAGTTATTGAATTTAAGTATCGTATATTTAAATTTAAAAAAAAAACATAAAACTTTCCTTCCCAAATCCCCAATTCCCACACTTTCTCAGCAGCCAAACATTACACTAGGTAAACCAAAACAGACATAATTTTGGTACCTTGAAATTTCTCTAATATCCGTCAATTCGATTCAAGACCCTAAACCCTAGCCCAGTTCAACCTGTAAAAACCGAAAAGATAAAATAAATCTCAGGGTTTTCATGAACGAAATGGTTGCGCGTGAAGAGTGTAGAGTAGAAAGTAGTAGTTACAGTTGGCGCCGATTGCTCGAGAAACGCAAAGAGTCTCTCAACACAAGAGCAAGAGAGATAGAGAGATGCTAAATGCGAACTGAAAACAGAAGACGCAAAGCAACAACGGTGCTTAACAAGTGTATGTTTGTGTTTATGTTATATGTTTTTTTTTTTTCTTTTGTTCTCCTATTTTCTACCGAAAGTGAATGATACGACGCCGTTGGTGGTAATGCCATTTTTTCATATATTTTTTTTGGGAATTTACCATCCTAGAGTAAAACTGTAAAAATGTGCTTCTAATTGGTACCCGGCATAATTTTATGTGAATGAAGCTAATGGTTTTGTTATGCAGAAGCAGGGGAGGATTTTGTTACGTTACTCTTTTAGTTTCCTAACCATTCCTCTCTGGGTTTGCCTTAAAACATTTGCACAATAGCTCTTTGAAAGGATGCATAAGAGTGACCAGGATCTTGATGACCAAGCTTTATCACGGTTTTTGTTACGAGAACCGTCTATTTGGATTTAGGGATGGCCCTGTGGCCTCATATTTTTATGCAAGTTACAGGACAGAACCATATAAGCTCATATTTTTACCGACAGTCTGTTCGCTCTTTCTGTTGTTATGAATGAATTGAAGATGCCTTTCTGGCCTCGAGGAGCAAGTTGTGCATGTTGGCAAGGAGCATGTTAGTGTTTTCTAAATGCACTTGTACAGGTGATTAGGCAAAAATAAAAAATTGTTCAATTATTAATCTTCTGTTTTGTTACTCGCTGCAGGCTCTTGATCTTTTCGTGACCTCTTTTCTTTCTGACTCTGATCTCACCAGTGTCTTCCTTTGGCAGCCAAAGAAGGAACAATTGACAGCTACTTATTGTTTGATAGCCCCAAACAACAATTTGTCTACTGGTGCTCATGTTTTCAACAAATACATATCCTCCTCTGTTTTTCACAAAAAGCTGTTTCCCTTTAAAGTTGAGCAGTAGAAAGTTTTTGGTACAAATAAAACAACTCGATCATTTCAAAAGCAATGGGCTTCCGACGATAGCTTTTAAAAACAGCCTCTTAATGTTCTTGATCTGTCATCCTATAGAAATCAGTTAGAGGAGAGTAAAAAAGAAAAGCAGCCACCAAAAGACTCA